ACACACACACACACACACACACACACACACACACACACACACACACACACACACACACACAAATAAAACCTTTTGAAATTAGAGCTTTGGTGTAACTGTGCAGGGCAAAGAGTTACCTGTGATCACACAGACTAAAGATGGCAACGAAGCTCCTGCTTTTATAAAACCTTCATAATCTGTGGGGGAAAAAAACAGTGGTGAGGGACTGTGAAACTCAAATAATTATATTTCAAGCACAGAGTCAAGTTTTAAGAATGTTATAAATGTATAAAACATATTTGGACCATCTCAACCCAGAATACAGAATGCAACGGATATTAATTCAATTGACTGCAAGCAGTGGAAGAATTAAAATCCTTTACTTATGTAGAAGTAATAACTACACACTGTAGAAATATGCTTTCACACCTTCAAGAGCCTTCAGTAGGACAGAGAAGTCTTCGTCCTCTGTGGAGAGAAGAGCCATTTAAAGATAGAAGCAGTCAAATCTGATTTAATCTAAAGAGTTCAAACAGAAACTAAAACAAAGTTCAAACAAATGTATTCATAGCAGTAAATTAAAAAGATATCAACAAATTGTGAAATAAAAAAATCCCCAAAGCCAAAAGTAACCCACTTAAAAGTGTGTTACATTTGCCTAATCATATATTTACTTCATTCTAACTCAAAGGGAGCTTTGAGTGTAAAAAATTACATCTTGCTAATATCTGCTGACGTAATGTATCTGCTAACATAATGTAATCTGCTAACATAATGTATCTGCTAACATAATGTATCTTCTAACATAATGTAATCTGCTAACATAATGTATCTGCTAACATAATGTATCTTCTAACATAATGTAATCTGCTAACATAATGTATCTTCTAACATAATGTAATCTGCTAACATAATGTATCTGCTAACATAATGTATGTGCTAACATAATGTATCTGCTAACATAATATATCTGCTAACATAATGTATCTGCTAACATAATGTATCTAACATAATATATCTGCTAACATACTGTATCTGCTAACATAATGTATCTGCTAACATAATATATCTGCTAACATAATGTAATCTGCTAACATAATGTAATCTTCTAACATAATGTAATCTGCTAACATGCTAATGTATCTGCTAACATAATGTAATCATGCTAACATAATGTAATCTGCTAACATAATGTATCTGCTAACATAATGTAATCTGAATCTACATATCATAAAAGGAAAAATAAATCCCAAACTGAAAGTATTCATTTTAAGCTCTTTGAGCACCAGGAAAAGCGCTATATAAATCAAATGTATTATTATTATTATGATCTACTTGTAGCACATCTTAATAATACAAAACAAGCATATTGAATATGTGTAGTCAGTAAATGCTCCCTGTGTCTCTTCCTCTCACCGGTCCAGCTGGTGCTGCTCAGCAGCAGCGCCGGCCGCTCCGCCCTCAGCGTCACCGCCTCCTCACAGAGATCACACTCTGAGAACACCGACCGCTCCACCTGCTTATCATCCTCACACCTGGAGAAACAGAGGAGGAATGCGACAAGTAAAGTATTATTTCAACATACTTGTATGAGTATTTCAATTTGCTACATAAAATGGTGTGAGTATGTCATAATTTGATAGCTGAGGTTAATGTAAATAGAGTCTGGTGGCTTTGAGGAAATAATTGTAATAGTATGTTGTATCTAGTGATGGTGAGATGAAGCCTTATGAAGCTTTGAAGCTTTCCAGCCAAAGGGTTCATCTCATGAGGCTTCATCATGGGCTTCATCTTCATCCAACCCCCTGTTGGTTAAAGTGTGTAAAACTGGCAGATTTTACATCTGAATAGTGTATCTCATACAGACTTTCCAATGAGTAAAGCCTTAGAATAACTCTAAACAACGAACATAAAAACATATTTTTATGTTAACAATATTGTATTAATTCCAGTTTAATGATTGTGATTGAAAAGCCTAAGGAGGTTGGTAAACATTGCAAAGAGGGATTTGTATTCCTTAATAATATTCGTAAACTTAACCATGTTGTAGCCTGAGAAAGGCTAAACCATATCAAAGAATACATTTATGAACTACATTATCTCATTTAGCTGTAGCTTTTATAAACAAAAAAAAGACGTATAGACCAGTCGTTGAACCAGGGACCCTGCGGTTGTGAGTCAACTGCTTTCCAGCTGAGCCACAGCACACACACTGGCCGTTTCTCAATCGCGAGGATGCTTGCTTGGTAGCACATGTCTTCCGAGTCACTTGCTTCAGAAGCTAGGCAAGAATCCTTCCTGGCATTCGGAAAACGAAGAGTGGAACAGGCTAGCAAGTGTGCAGGTGTGCGTCATATGAGAGGCCCCGCCTTACATTTTCCGCCAAAGATTTGGGGAAATTGGTCCATGCGCAAAGCGAAGTCTACCCATGTGCAGCCTCGAAATTACCCCCAAAACAAGGACGCGGCCTCGGTGGAATTCCAAGTATACTGGAGATTGGAACAGTCCTTCGGCGGCACTCGATGACGTAGTATCCTTGAAATATTGGCTTGGAAGCCAGTTTCCTCGCGATTGAGAAACAAACGGCCACTGAATCTATCTGAAAAAACTGGATACTATTTATTCATGTTTTTATTCCTACATTTATTTTTGCTTTTATTTATTTATACTTATGACATGTTCCGACCTCTATATAAGTGAGGGTCTGAGCTCTCTTAATTCTATCGTGTCACCGGGCCCGGGTACAGGAGGGGTAATATCGTTCTTATTATACATCCATGGGTAATATGAGCGTTGTGGTTCAACCGATCTAAAGCACTTTCTGAAGCAGTCAAGTGGTATCGACAGGCAGCGAGGCTTCGTTTGTCATCGGTGACGTCACTGGCCCAAAACGATACTAGCCTCGATACATGCTTCACAAAAAGCTTCGGGGATTACTCGACACAATCCTCGGTGCAGTACGTAACATCACTAGTTTGATATGTTATTACATTATAACATTTGTCCAAATCCTTGTTGATTATATTTATTATATATTCACTTCGCCAATTCACATGCCTTGGAAAAGAGTTGAAAAAGATCAGCAATCAATATTGTGACAACTGCAAATCTTTTTCTTTGGAATTAATGCTGAATCTACCCATTAACACAAAATCAAATCAAAACCAGATGTTAGTGTTTCTTTTTCAAGTTAGAGAGGAGCTTTAACAGATATAAAAAGCCGCAGTAGAGTTCCTCACCCTCTGCTCTGGAACTGAGGATACTTGTTGGCGAGTCTCATGAAGAGCCTGTGCTGCAGCTTCAGAGGAGTCTCTCTGAAGATGGAGGGCGGACAGTCGTACAGAGTGGTCGCCCTGCAAACAGTCCAAATGTTTTATTATTACATCACTTTGCAATTAATAACTTTGATGGCAGGCTTTGGCTTACTTTATTGTCCATATTTGTTTCCTTTTACCGGAACTTTGTTTTAATTGTGCCAAGTCATGTATACAGTACCACAGCTTTAAGTCGCAACTTCCTGATTGCCATAGTCAATGATATCGAGAAGCTGGAAACTAACCTAACCTCCCAGATGGCATATCTGTGGCATAAGCAAGGCTAAACCGGAAGCATGTGAAAAGTGTGTGAATGTGTGTGTGTAAAAATTACATACTTGATGCCCCAGTTTTTCTGCAGGTCATCCTTCATTGCATTGGTGACACACAGGTTACGAGAGGCCAGCGGGCCGAAAAAGTGCTCGTACCTGGAAGAATAAAAACAAACATTTTTAGAATATGTGCACACCAGGATGTCAGGCATGACTAATAAATTGATCTGCAGCATTTTCTTATCAGCTTCTAAAATGTGAGCTATTATTTTGCATATCATAAAGTAAAACAACCCCCGGGCTCACACACTCACCACTTTGCGAGCCTCACCACAGGGTGTGTCCCCCCGTGGCTCAGAGCCATGATGGTGTAGCCGTAGTTGTGCCAGTCGATGACGAACCTGCTGCCACGCAGGACGCACACGAGACACGCCACCGCGATGCCAGGCAGCCCCGGGGGATTCTGGGAAACAATCACAGTCATTACTAGCATAGGCCAAAATTCCTTTAAAGCGTACCTGTAAGTATGACAGCTGGTTATCTTTTAAATGCAGTATATCCATCAATAGATACAGAATTTATACAAAAAATGTTCTTGTACCTGCATTAATATATGAGACTGTGTTTCCATCCTCAGCAGCACGTAAAGCAGCTGCAGACACTGGAGGATCACCTTCGTCACATATGTCAGGATTTTTGGTCCCACTAGAAAAAAAGCAACAAAGCACTTGTGTAAAAAACATTATAACATTTCTGGGAATTTTTCATTACTTCTGAAAAACATAAAATGTGAAATAAGATGTTTACCGCGTACTCCTTTAACCTCTGCTACTGGCACCAGCTTTATCTTTTCCTCTCTCAACACTTCTTGATGAGGTTTGGTATCTAAAATTGAAAATAAAACACTTACAGTTTTTTGTGGTCTTCTGCATTAAATAACTTTTGTAGCACTACTCAACTTGTGAAGAATTGTAATTTTTACACTTTTTTTAGTACTTGAGTATTTACCTTTTTGGGTATTTACATAAGTATAAAGTAGCATTACACTACATCACAGAGAAAACATATTGTATTATACTGAACATTTTATTTGAAACTTAAAGGCTTGCATTAAAACATTTGAAATACAGTATAATGCTGTACTACAATATTGTAAGAAGTTCAATTATGGGATTGGGTTCGCAACAGTTATGCATATAGCATATGTGTTTACTATATTACATACAATGGCGTATAAGTAGGCTAACAGTTACTTAAATGTAGGTTAAGGTCCCTTAGTTACAGCATCAGTGGACGTTTTGGGAAACAGAGGAATTTATGAATGACAACATGAAACTTTATATTCATCTAATAAACCCTACAAAAGTCATATTATATCCGTGTTTATAACTTACCTAAAAACCCGACAAAAGTAACATTATACCCGTGTTTGCTGAGGGACAGAGCGTGATACTGCATCCGGGGGCTGCGACCCAAATCCCCCAGCACCAGAACACACACACGCCGCTCAGTCCTGCCGTCCCTCCGCCGCAGCCACAGCAACCCCAGCCCGGTAACAGCCGTCAGAAACACAACCGGCCATGTTACACCCGAACCGGCGCCATAAAACCCAATTAAAAGCGCAGAAATAAGCGCAAACACAGCGAGAAAATGTGTGCAGGTGCCGGGGGTCGCCATGTTTGTTTGTTATGACGTGGCTCAGCGCAGGAGGAGGAGCTTTATATTTAAAGGGACAGCCAGAGTGTATTCATGTACAATAAAACATTAAGTAGTTAAACTTCACAAATACCAAATTAGAAACAATATTAGAAACGTTATTCTTCTTTAAAGATTTCATCATGCAATTTGACACTTTTATCACGTCTTCTTTAGATATTTAAATGCTGTTCTTAACATATTCCTTAAACCCTTATCAAATTATAGTGAACTTGGGGGATAACTTTTATTATTTTACTTTATGGAAGTAAAGCGTACCATAGAGTATAAAGTCGAGTTTGTTTTCGAAATTACGTCACGGCCTCCTCTCCTTCCCATCCCGTTTGAGAAAAGAGACAGCCTGTCATCCCTCCTCTCCCCTCCCCTCCCCTCCCTTCCCCTCCTCGTCTCTCCTCCCTATTTAACGTCCCGGAGCCTCCACATAGTCTGACTGAGAACATGCAGGCTGCGGGGCATCAACTGGCCGCAGTGCTGGCTCTGTTTGCAGCAGTGTGCGGAGGGTCGCAGGCCGAGGTGATCGATGACATCCTGGGCAGCCTCTCCCGGGGAGCCGCCTTCCTGGAGAGTCAACACGAGCACATCAACCTGGACGGAGTGGTCGGGTTCCTCATGCTGCAGGGTGAGAGCCAAAAACAGAGCCTCCTGTGTACGTGTACGTGTGCGTGTGTGTGTGTGTGTGTGTGTGTGTGTGTGTGTGTGTGTGTGTGTGTGTGTGTCCTCTCAGCTGCAGTAAACATCTGGAGAAAAAAATGGTATGTGTTGGTCAAGGGCAGTGGTAAAATGTAACTAAATATATGTATACAAGTACTGTACTTAAGCGCAATTGTGAGGTACTTGTACATTACTTGGGTATTTCTATGCTGCATGCTTTACTCGACTACAACTCAGATTGAAATATTGTACTACATTTATCTTCTTGATTTAGTTACTTTCATTTGCTTGCTTTAGTTACTAATTAAGTCAATGGATAATGTTTGTGAATAAAATAATCATATTTATATAAACATAGATTAATAATGCCAAAGTTATGTAAATATTCTACAGATTAGTAATTCACGCAGATAATTAAATATTATAGCTTTGTCATTAGTCAAATAAAAGTAGGCTATAAGAGATTAAACTACCAAACTATTCAGTGGTGTACTGTAATTGCATGCCCTTCATATAATGGGAAGTTTTTAGGTCATTTTTATGTTATTTAAAATGTGAAGCAAGCGCTACAGTTTGCATGTGGAAGCAGTTAGCTGATTTTTTAAAATCTTATTTTAATGTATTTTTGTATATTGTCTTTTTTTTTTACAATATCATCCTTTTTTGTGTCCGTAACAAATTCATTTCTACTGCTGTTAAAAGTAAGGAATATATATATATATGTAAGGATATGTCGATGTTCCTTCTTTCACATTTTGATCAACGATAAAAGTCAGTATCAGATACCAGCAGAATAAATGCTGCTGCTTTTTGACTTAAGTAAGAAAGGTGTATTACAACAGTGTGAAAGAGGGAAGGACATGTGCAGAAATGTGCCAGTGAGAATACAAAAGGAAAGGTTGCAAATATTATTATTGTATAAAGATTTCCTCTGCTGCTGACTGTGTCCCAGCTGAGCTGAAGGAGGCGGTGCGGACGTGGCCCCACAGCGACCCGGTCAGCTGGGCCCAGAGGACCTCCACCGTGGTTCTGGTCAAACGTTTGGACCGGAGCTTCGAGAAGGCCGTCACCGCCCTGCAGCAGAACGACCCCAAGTACTACAGAGGTGAGCAAGACTCCATTACCCAGGAGCCCCGTGGTGTGATGTTTGAACACAAAAACAAATCCTTTTACTCAACGTTACATTTTAGAGATTAAACATGTAAACAAAAAATTGGGTCTTAAATGTCTTTAAGCATATTTTGATCTTGATAAATCTAAAAATAAGTAAAGAAAATAAATAATAACATGTTACAGTTTTCATGGTATATTTGACATAGACTAATGCATAATAAGGAACAATTCCCTCAATATTAGTGTATTTTACTGTGAATTAAGAAAAGAAAATAAGAATAAGTAACTTACAAACATAAACATCCTTCAAAATGAATGTTGACCTTTTAGGTACTGACATTTTCTCAAAGGAGAGCACAGGATGTGTGATTTACAGAGCAGATATATAATGTAGTAGAAATAGAACATACAATTGTATTTCTTCATTAATAAATGGTCTATGGTGGTAAATACCTTTGTGTGTGTGCTGCAGAGTTTGAGCCCCTGCTGTCGTCGAGCTTCTATCTGATCCCTCAGGAGTGGCAGTCCACGGACATCAGCCTGGTGTATTCCTCCATCCTGAGCACCGAGTGCTACGACGAGCAGCTCAGCGACAAATGTCTGACGCTGCTGCTGGGAACCTGGTACGAACACTTATTGTCAGAGAGGAAAACACAACAGGGCACGACTTCATTACACAGACAGAAGTATCAGAAAAAGTGATGTGACCTCGAGAGAATGAGGTTTAAAACCTGTCTTCCTGAAACAAAAAGTATCTGTGTTTGTAAACCTCGGTCTAAAAGATTCAACAATATGTAGTATCCGATGCAAAACAGCAACAGCGTTGGTGATAATACATATCATCTTCTCCAACATACAATATGCCTTCCTTCAAATTTGGCACAAACATCCAGTTGGACTCAAGAAATAATTGATTAAAAGTTGTGGGTCAAAGGTCACTAACCCCACAGACACAAACAAGAATTCAAACGCTAATTATGCTAATTTGACACGGATAGAAAATAGAATAAAAAATTATAACATTTTGGGCAGACCTTGGATAATTTGATAGCTATGCCTTAGATTGTTACACTGTTGTTAGCAGGATGTCAAATACATAATGTAACTTGTCCACATGACCTATGTATGACATATTAGATCAAGATATTGATAGGGGTGTTGTTGGAGTGAGAGTTAATGTGTGTGTGTGTGTGTGTGTGTGTGTGTGTGTGTGTGTGTGTGTGTGTGTGTGTGTGTGTGTGTGTGTGTGTACATGTGTGAGCAGGAAGATGAACGGGACGCCCTGCATCGTCACCAAACCCTGCCGGGACACCATGACACGTTTCGGCTGTCCGCACTACTCTCTGTCTCACCAGCTGCTCTACTTCATGATCGGGAAAATGGTGAGAAGTTAAACTATCGAAATATCTCTATCACTCAAAATCTGTGAGGGTTTGAATTTTGTTGTGTCTAGTTGTGGGGTTATTTTGCTGTTCTGTTCTCCCTGTCATGTTTTCCTCCTTGTTTCTTGTCTGGTCCTTCTCCCTGTGTTTTCCTCCCTGTCGTTAGTTTCCCTGGTGTGTCTAATTGTCTGATTGTGTTCACCTGTTGCCCTTGTGTTTCTCCTCCCCTGCCAGGCTGTTTCTCGTCTCGTGATTACCCCTCCCTGTATTTAGTCTTGTCTCTTCCTGTGTCCGGTGTCGGTTCATTGTTTGTTTTTCCCCGTCTCCCTCCATGTCAGTCTTCGTCAGCTTTTTTGTATTATATCTTTCTTGTGCTTCATTTGTGTTTTTGCAATCAGCTTTTAAAATAAAGCTCGCTTTTGTTTTTCTAGACCAACTTACTTTTTTTTGTAGTCTGCTTTTGGGTCCTACCTTTCCCAAACCATAACAGAATGAACCGACCACATATGAACCCAGCAGATGATCCATTTGAAGAGGAGTTGTATTCATTTACCTACTTGCTGGCTTGCAGCTATGGTAAATGGAGGGGAGCAACCAGTGTGGAGCAAAAGAGGGCTGCCCTGGCAGAGGCGTACCAGAGGGCAACAGAGAAACCAGGGTTAG